CATGCTCTTCTGCATAGTCGAGCACGGTGGTGCACTCCTTGTTGGTTGGTTGTTGACCGGCTGGCCCAAGTTCTAGTGTGCCTAACAAGATCGGCCGTCTTATGACAATGTCGGTCGAAAGAACAACTCAGTGATTCGAAAAGTTATACGACCGAGAACTGACGCCCGAAAAAAAAACAGGAAGCTTCGTGCAAAGCTGACTTTTAAATGCACAACGAAGTACGCGGGTGATCCAAAGTTGGGATCGGTGCACTCTTCTTGTGGATATTTAGCAAAATTTGTCCGGATAATCTGGAAAATACACTTTTTGACCACCTGTTTCTACTGATTCCAGAAAGAGGATCCCAGTGGAAGTGTAACAAAGTACTTCTCTGAAATAAACGAGGTTGATTGAGTCTAATAATTGACTGTCAACGCGTAATTAAGCTGTAGTTTATTTGGAGAACGTTTTAGAAAAAGAACATATAAAAGGCATAAAAATGAGATAGAATCATCGTCCACATGTATCAGTCAGAGCTTGACCAAATTCCAAACGCTTGGGAACTTTTTTGCGAATAAATGTCGTCAGTCTAGCGCCAGCTGTTTACTTTTAGTAAAAATTTACAAATGCCAACACTGTGACGGAGAATTAAACAGCCACAAAAACATTTTTTAGTAAACGGTAAGACATAATAATTAGATTGTGACGCAAATTGCACACACGAACGACAAGGTTAACTTACTTCCATAGAATTCATAGCAAACGTTGCGATATAGTTGGGGTCTTGCCGATTCCAGGCCAACCTTAGGAGGGGTGTTCGAGACATATTTTCGTAAATTATAGTTGATGTTTCCAAATTTCGGAGATCAAAAAGTCGTACAGAGCCATCAGCACCTAAACGGGAAGTAGAAAGGCTCTTAATATCTTGTGTATCATTGAGACACTGTAAACACCGGTAACCGTCCTGTAATTTACAAGCAAGAAGGAGAAGTGCAGTTGTCCATAAAGCACATGGAAACGGCTAAAGTTGTGACCCACCCCGCAAAAATAATTGAAAATAGACTTGAAATAAAGGAAGTTGTCTCCAAAACCAGCCAAAACAGACCAAGGTATGATTGATGATTTCTATAAATTGATATAACATCTAAAATAAGTGTTTATGGAGGGGAGGCCTTGGCTAAGGTGGTTATTGCGGAAGATATAGAATTTGACGTATTAACAGATGTAGCTCCCTTTAACCAATAGTAAAAGGGTAAAGTTATCCTTTATAAATCACCATTACCTTAGCCTTGCGTGGTAGAAGGATAACCGAA